CGATTTGAGACGAACAAAAATGCACTAGCAATGCACGGTTTGTAACAAAACAAAAAATGTAAAGGAACGCTTTGCGGACAAAAAAGGGCATCTGGTCCGGGCAGAATAAACAAAAAAAAAGGCGCCGTGGCGGTCTCATTTATACCTCAAGTATTTACGACGCCGTACAAGCATTGGCTCCAAAGAGGAATTCACACAGCGACCTGTGTACGCGGTCCTGCGGCCAGAATGTTAATTCCATTAGGACGACGCCGCATCCTCCACATCGATTCCTGCAGCTGCCCGGCAACATTAAGCAACACCGTGTTTCCCAGCTTCTTTGTGCTTGTCAAAGTCCATTACGTGCACTCGATTTACTTCACATGAAGTGCTCCATCTCTCTCTCCTCCCTCTCTTTTGTCATTCTCTTTATTCTGCACATTAGCTCTAATTTATGGCAACGGTATTATTGCTTCAATGCCTATTTGCCAAATCGCCCGGAATGAGTTCGATTCTCATCAGATATCGGAAAGCTGAGCGGTTTGAGCCTGGAAAGTGCGTGGATGTGCCACCATCACAACAAACAAACTGGTTGTTATAGGCTTCGCAACTATGTGGTGGTAAGCAGCGGGCAAAGCGGCAAACTCGAATGTTGTACTATACTTCTGCGTCCCCACGTCTATTGCTCCATGCCGCACTGACCAGAGTGAAGTCTGGTGAAATAATCCCCAAGACCCGCGCAGTGTGGGAAGGCCCTCATCCAGCAGTGGATTGACAAAGTGCGGTACAAGAATATTTTTTTCAATAGCTCATGCAAAAGAATGTCAATGTGCCTGGGGTAATTTGGGTGTTTGTTTTAATTCAACGTCGTTACACATCGCAGATTTGCACCATGTGGCTGAAAAACAGTGGAGAGCTAAGACATATTCACATCCTAACGTGTATACGATTCCTATTGCTAACATTGCAATTAGCACAATAATATAATGATCATGCGGCTTATTGATAACGCACGTTTAACTAATTATCAGATGCGGATGGCAGATTATGAGGCCAGGCTGTGCTGCAGGGCCCAGGTCATGGACACCCAGTACCAGTGTGAAGTGATTCGAAAACTGCTGACCTATTTCACACCTGGCGATGTCAACTAACAAATCGTGATTCAATCTGAACCAGCGTGCGGTCCATGCCACCCGTCGTTAATAGAAATATGTTCCATTATTCTTAAGCAATATTACAGCAAAGGTGGGATATCCGGGCCTCCGTGTGGCTCAGAGCTGTGCCAGATTTCCATTCTGTGGCCAGTGTGGCCGTTTCCGCAAATACCCCTTCCCGATTGGCATGATTTCCTCGAAATCCTGTCCCACGGCCGCTGTATTCTGAGGTGAAAACAGCCGCAGGAAGCGGTGATACATTTCCTGAGAGAGATAGCGCACATGAACGGCGTGCGCTTCGCGATCGCTCGCTCCACCGATATAAATGCGCTCGTGGAGAGACACGGCGTGGCCTCTGTGCATCTACACAAATCTCGTGGGGGGCCTCAGCCAGAGTTTGAACGTTTTTAGAAATGCGTTAATACGACGCACGCGCCGGTGTCTCGGGATTCGTACGTTCATTGATTTTTTTGTAACGTTTACAGTTCTCCTGACATAACTGCCTATATCACACACACACACAGATGCCTCATCTTAATCTGAAGGGACTTGACGTTTGAGGAATGGAATTTGGCTATGGTACAGGTACTTAAGGTGCAGTTACTGCAGGTAGTATGTGCAGGTACTCTAAACAAATCAACTAATACACTCTTCAGAGACAAAACAGCTCACCATTTACACAAATGGCTCTGTTCTTTTTCAACAACCTCTATCTAGTATCTACCTGACGTTCAGCCACAGGTAAACACCTGGATTCCATGGGGGTTTTCTTTACACTTTGACACCACAAGACTAATGGTATACATTCCACTTTGTCCATTGTTATTCAGTTATCGCGATGAAATTATTTAGGATTTCTGTCAGGTGGGGCCTGGTGAATGTTGCCATCAGACTAGTGACCACATCACGATGAAAATACTGCGGCCTCTGACATTAGGTTCGAAATTCAATTGAGACACTGAAGCAATCGACTGTACATCAACTGAATACATTTTCCTGGCTAAACTGACCTGGACTTCAGACATTGCTATTCATCCGGCCACACGAGGAGATACAAGGGACCCGTAAGCCGCACAGATGCTACACCGCCGATGCGTGAAGACCAGCGGCCACTATCGTCACCACCCGCTCGTCACGCAACGTCTCCCCGCTCTGCCACTGCTTGTCGATCAGCTGCGACAAAACACACCTGGGTGCCCAAGCAGCCTACGGTAATCTCCACACCGTTCCGGACGGCGTGTTTTATACACGGCAGCTGACGGACACTGTCAAGAAAATGTTCGGATGAAACACACAATACATCCACAGGTGGACATGGACAAGGTTTGGCAAGGCATGGCAGAGGCTTGGGAACGCGTTGTGAAAACATTTCCGGCACTGGCTTGAACACTCTCAGTTTTAACGCTTCTCAATGTAATCTTTTTTTGTCCCCCCAGCTCCCACACCCGGTGGTGTCTATATAAATTTTAATAACGCGGCAGTATATGACCCGTTTACGATGGATGCACTGCACCGTTGATCACCGCAGGTGTTCTGTGATGTGTAACAAACACTGTTCCACTACACCTCTGACTTCCAAAAGCCAATGGTTCCACGACTGCGGTAGAGACCCTCTTGAACAAAGTGCTTTACATTTGTGGCGCAGGCTTGTTTACCGACAGACCCCTTTTAAAAACAGTAAAACTGAACGGCGATGTTTTAGACAGGGGCAACATGTTATTCCCCGTAGATGGTAATGGCAATTCTTCTGTGTTTTTTGCTGCGTGTGCGGCTGACAGATGTAAACGTGCAGGGGAAAGACCCAAGATTAATGGGATAGCCGCAAGGGGATGAGAGCAGCACGACAGCAACAAACGAAAATTGTAATTGTTTATCCAGGATTACATCGCCGACTCTTTACCACGGGGTTTGGGATTGTTTTTTTGTGAATCTATTATGTAAGGGGCGTTTTGCATGAGGGAAGCAACCGGAACACCTGAAGAAAACCCATACGGGTGAGGGGATAACATTCAAAGGTCGACAAAGACAAGCTCACGAACCAAATTCATCCTTATTGGGGAAGTGTGACACTTCTTAAAGCAACTCCACGATTATCAGGAGGCGAACCAGTCTCTCGGAGCGGACGTGTGCTTAAGAGGATCTCTCTCTATCCAGACGTGATTTCGGTTTATGTCATGCATCGTTGGACACGACGGTCCGGCGTTTCGCTGAAGCTGACTAAGAACGTAGAGCGAGATGTCAGACATCAAGTCAAAATGCACAAACTACAACTCGAAAGCACATGTGGACAACTGCCATCTTAAATCCGAACAAAATAAATCACTGCTCTATGAGTATTAAAATCTTCTTCCTCCATACGGCAGCCCAACAACCATAATTTCACATTCAGGAGGTCAAGCCAGATACACGTGTAAGGAGCAGCGGAGATGTATCGCTGTAATTATTTAAAAAATGTTTTAAAGGACATTGACAATAAGTAGAACTTAGTTGAATAAGAAGTAAAAATAAGCCTGCAAATGTTCGATGTTTTGCTCCAAATGCTGACATTCTTTTTATTACCCTTGTTTACCCAGGAAAGCCTTATTGAGTCTCAAGACTTTTTAAGGAGGTCACTGCCATGCTTTTGTAGAAGGGAGCAATGCTGCTCCTGTGTGTAATCCAATTTAGTAATTTTCAGGTAAATGTTCAGCTTAACACTTAGGACTTTCGCGACCAATATCATCCATAATAGAGGTTTTGGGTTAGATCGCGTACATTTACACATAAATGTTCAGCATTGGGATCTTTGGCCAATACCACTGCATGTGATTTTTTAAGCGATGGGAGGAAACGAAAGAACCCAGAGGAAACCCAGGAAAAACAGGGGGGAGAACACACAAACTCCACACAGAAAGGTGCCCAAAGTTGGGAAATGAACCCAGGGCACTTTTTGCTGTGAGCCACCCTGCCCCCCTCAATGTCTCAGAGATCCCCCCCGCCCCCAATGCTCAACACAGACAGAGGCCAGCCCTGATGAGAGCAGAATATTAGATGTCTCATAGCTGTGTGCGAGCGTGGACATTTAAATTAAAAAAATAAAAATGTAAACAGTTGAAAATATCTCACATATAAAAAACCTCAAGTGTGCAAGCTTATTACTTGTTGCACAAACGTAGCGTCATATTAACAAAAAACGAAATATCAATTACCTGGCACGTAAAAGACACGCAAATGAACGTCGCCTTGTGAAACGCAAGAAGCGTTTGGGGGGCGGCTCAGGAACGCTCATGGTCTGAGGCGAAGCTTTTCAGCTTCCCCGTTCAAACCTCTGCTCACGATAATGGCGGGTTGGGATTATTGGTTTTACTGGAGCGGCTGGATAATCCTGTTGAACGATGAGACTACCGTTTAGCATGCAAGCGGGTTTAGAGATGAGACACGTTTGGCGCAATTACCGCTGCCACGTCGATGATAAAGAGATGAGCTGTGCGGAGTTTCACGCCATATGCCATGCTCTGCTGGCATTCGAATAAACCCATTAGGTAGCATGTGCAGGATAAGCATGTTACGGATAAATGTTATTGTTAGACATATGCCTCATGCCGTCTACAGATTCTGCATTTAATTACGATTCATACATGAATAGCTACATTAACTTGCGACTTGTGATGCAGTGACATGCAAAGCATGTATTCAACTAAACAACGCAACTGCATAGAGCAGCCTGTGAGTGTTTATATATGGGGACTGTGTCGAGTGGCACAGCGATTCATCCAGGCCATTAGCCAAACACAAGAAAATGCATGGAGCAGCCTGTGAGCACGTGCTCCAAACCCTGCGAGCGTGTGGTTCTACGATGGCCGTGCGGAGTGAAACGCAGCGACTCACCGAGCCCATCCTCCGGCTCTTCCGTCCCGGTGTCTGGCGTCTCCGGGACATCCACCTCGCCGGCTCCTCCTCTTTCATCTTCGTTCTCCGCGTCGCCCTCCTCTGCCTCGTCCGCCGCGCTCTTGTCCTCCTTCACCTTCTCCTCGTCGTCGTCGTCGTCAGGCTCAGCAAGGGGCCCCGTGGGCTCCTCATCTCCCTCCTCGGCGGGCCCACACGGCTTCTCCGCTTTCTCACTGTCTATCGTCTCCCGGATGTCTTCGTCCTCCGCGGGCACCTCTGTGTCCTCCTTGGTATCCGCCTTGGCGTCCGCCTTGGCATCCACCTTGGCGTCTGCCTTGGCATCCGCTTTGGTGTCCGCCTTAGCGTCCAACTTCTCCTCTTCTTCATCGGCGGCATGGGCGGCGGCTCCGTCCGTGAGAACCGAGGCCTGGGGCTCCTCGGCCTTCTTCCCATCTCCGTCGCCGGCCTCGGGCTCGTCGGCGGACTTGCTCTCGTCGTCCTCGGCCGGCGGTTTGAGGACCACGGGCTCGGGCTCTGCGGATGGGCGGAGAGAGACAGACAGAGAGAGAGGACGGCACGTGAGACGCGGGAGTGGAGAGCCGTGCGCATGGAGGCTTCGTTCACGACGGCACGAGCCTCCCAGCCCCCATTCAGTCGCCGTTCCCGGTCGGGCGGCCCCGCGGTAGTCGGAGTGAATCAATCTCGCCCGCACGCCGCTGCCTCTCCCCTCCCCCCCCCTTTCCTGCGCTCCTTGTGCATGGGAGAGGAACAATTTCTGCAGCTTGTCAACGATAACAAACTAAAAAAAATACTGCAGATGATAAAAGCACCCTCGCACACGCAGACAGGCAGACACGCTTTGCCGGGCCGTGCGTATTAGCATTCAGAGGGGCAGTAGCTCTCCTGGGATGTATCTGGAGATGCGCCTCAATAATAAAGATTGTGACATCCCTTAAGCGTTACAACCCATCAGCGTCCCAATCTCCGCGCCGCGACTATGCACGCTCCATTTGGTGCAAAGCGCGCGCGTAAATCGTGGATAACGGTAACACAACAAAATCAAACTTTGCATCCGAGCGAATATCACTTGAAATTCAAATGAGCAAACTATGAATATTTATTAAATACATTTATAGTCTACTTCATTTGACAACCGCAGTAGTTTACGTGCGTGTGTGCTCCAACAGCTTCTACTGAGCACCCTCATTGCAACCCATATCCATAACCCGCGACACACAAACACCACACACGAGAACGTGTTTTGTTAAATTCCTGCGAGAATGCATTTCATTGATTTACAAACAAACGGCCTCGGGACCACCACAACAGCAGCAGCAGCAAGCAGCGGAGGCCCACTGAAGCGACACACCACAGTGCAGTAGCAGCAGCAAGCAGCAGAGAAAGCAGAGGAGTTCACGAGCACAGACTCGAGGTAGGGGGGGTGGGGGACACTCACCGCAAAACTCCATTGTGCCGGCCCCTGGGAAATCAGGAAGAGGCTACATCCCTCCTACATCCTGCCTCGACGCGTCGCTGCTGACCGGCGGCCGACCCACCCCCCCCGAGCACGTCCATGGAGTGCCGGGGGCCCCCGTGCGTCAAGCGGCCGCGCTCCGTCCCCCACCACACCCAGACGCGGCGTGCGCTCACGTGCGCGCGTGCGTTCGTGCGTTCGTGCGCGTGCGTGCGCGCGCCACGGAAGGGGGGACCCGCGCGTGCACGCGCCACGGCCGGGACCCGCGCGCAGGAGAAGAGCCCCGCCGACAGTCGCTCTCTCACGCGCCGCGGAGCCGTGGGCAGGGCAGGGCGGAGCCGTGGAAATTCGCCGAGCGAACGGAGCGGAAGGGATGCGGGAGTGAGCGGCGGCGGCGTCGTCGTCGGCGGTGGTGGTGGTAGTGGGGGGGAGGGAGAGGAAGGAGGAGGCAGCAGCGGCGGCGGCGACGTAGCGAGCGAGCGAGAGAGCGAGCGAGGGGGAGAAGGAGACAGTGACGGAGCGGCGCGAGGGAGAGCGCACGAAACGCAGAAGGGCTGCAGCGAGCGTGCGAGCGAGGCTACATTCCCCCACAGCTGGGCAGGAAGTGGGAACGCGAGGCAGTGCACGCTCCGGCACGGGCTGTGTTGTTGTGCGTGTGAGCGTTCAGGGGGTGAGGGGCCACACGCGGATGCTGACATCACCAGCGCAAATGATGAAGTTAGCCAAAGGAATCTGCTGCTCGTCCACCCAATTAAGTTCCGTTATTGCTGCTCGTTGTTCGCCTACGTCGATTGCGCGAGCGAGCAAAAATGCATTCTTCCATTGTTATCCTCAAGACAAAAGGCAGTAGTTAGATAATGATTACACGGCAATATCCACTCCTTGTTTCCACTATGAGCTCATTTGTTGTCGACTGGTGTGGTGGAACCAGCCTTATCCTTTTTATACTTAAGCCTCCTCCACTTATCTTTTAGTGCCCAAGTCAAAACTGTATCTGGTCAAAGTTAAATCCGACGTTCAACTTAAAGAAAACGAGCATGTACTTAAGTGCATTTTGGCAACGAAAGTGCGACGCACGTAGATTTTGCAACGTTGACTCATTTCCAAACATCAAACGCACCTGAAAAATAAAAGCTTACGAAGCATTCAGCATTTTCAGCACCAAAACAAACATTCCATTGCAACTTCTACGGGCCTACTTGTGCCTTTTCAAAATAATAAGAAACGCCACAGTGCATTGCCATGGTACGAGTCGACAAGTCATTTATATCCCCTTACAAAAATGTGCACACGCGCCGGCAACATGAAACCAACGCGCCTCGTGTCAAACCGCTCGCTGAAGGAACCTCCTTGCCAATGAAAAGGGTAACATTAGCGAGGGTTGGGACCGGGCAGAATACCACCACCACCCCCTAACAGCAACAGCTGCCGCTGGCCTGAGACGCGCGATTTAAATTGAGACTCCTGAGTGGAATCTCATCCGCGCGGTGGCCGGTGGCAGCCGGGGTTGAACGCCACCGTGGGGTCATTCAAGTGGAACACGGCGGGACGCTCCTGGCGGTGAGCGACTCCGAAGGCTTGCGGGCCACTACGACATTCGCGGAGGCGGTGCGACAACCATCGGTGGAGGGAGAGGAGGGGATCGGGCGTGGGATTGATGCTAACCCGTGAAGTGTATCGTGAGAGGCAGCGTCTCAAGCGATATCGGAGAAGGGTCGATGACGTGTAAATGCACTGTCTTGAAAACTGAAATACACTTTTTTTTTAGTTTACCAGGGTAAGGCCCACTCAGCTATATAGCTCTTTTTTTCAGAAGCGACCTGGCTGCAAATTATAGCTTTAACGAAGTGGCTAATCACGTGAAAGTTTATGGCAGCCAAATATTTGAAACGCGTGTTTCTAGATGTGGAGGGGAAAACCTGAAGATCCGTAGGAAAATCCACACAACCACGGGGAGATTACGCAAACCCCAAATATACAGCAGGCGTCAGGGTCGGAATTGAACCCACGACCTCCTGTATACCACACGAGGCATCTCGTCCTGCATGGGCCCATTGTTACCCAACTTACTTTTAATGTCCCAAGGTTTCCCCGGAAAGTGACTTCCAAAATAGGACAATTGTGGGGAAATCCACGACTGGTGGGCAATCAGATTGTGCAAGCAATCAGTGCGCGCTGCAAACTCATAAGTCCATCCCTCTGCGGGTATACACAGTGACACCGCTCCAGCACCTAATTGAGCGAACAAGCGGCAGAGGACATGCTCGCGGGAGTGCGAAGTCCCCCAAAGTGCCGTAATGAATGGACGTTGCCGGCCGAATGCTGATGGCCCAGACCGGGCAGCACGCGTGGCATTCGGGCCGGGAGCCGCGTGCCCGATCGTGGGGGACCGTCGTGGCTTTCCTCCACCAAAAAAAAAAAAAACTTCCCAACGCTTGCCGCGATGCGTCCCCGCTGTTGCTAATTAGGGCGACTAATTTATGGCGCAGACGCAATCATTACCGAAACAGCCCTCCACGTAAGCAGTACTGCGATATTTAAAAGAATCATCTGCATAAGCAACCGTGGCTTCTATATTGTACTCTATATACAGTACTATTTACAGTACTATTGTTTATAAATCGGAAAAGGGTTTTATAAAAACAGAAAGTAATTCGTTGTAGATTTTTATTGTTGTAATAAACGCAAGGTTACTGTATATGTAAAAATATATTTTTTATTTGAGACCATAAAGCCCCACGGTGAGGTCCAGAACAATTAGTGCAATGTGTGGGCAGAAAATCCAAATGTTATTTTGTTACGAGCCATTTGATGGATGCCCTCTAATTATTACCAGACTCCCGTACGTCGTTCAGAAATATTTTATTGAATTAACAGAAGCAGATAATACATCGTGGCATGTTAAACAGCCCCCTGCGTTGGCGATTACCTCACCCTAACAATATCCTTCCTTGCTTTATAGACTCGGCCCCTTAGTGGGGTTCTTTATTGTAATGGTTTGGCTGAAGCTCAGTACTAAAAACTACTGAGACATATATAAATGAATTATGTTATGAGATGACGTGCACATACGTTGGTGCCAGAATGTGATTTAGGAAAACATGGGACAAAGTCATCGGGATGTGACAAGATTTTCTCTGTCTTAGTCCATTATGTTTAAGAATCTAAATCAAGATGTACCGGCTGTCACCTAAAATGTACCTAAAAGACAATACACAAAATATTACGAAAGTTTGTAAGATAACCCAGCTCACGATTCTGTTACAAACTAAAACAAAAGAGGCCCAAAGTTTTAAATAGCTTTCATCGTCATCAACATGAGACAAGATATATCCACTGCTGCATGAAGGTCTCCCCAAGTTGCCATCACCCACCACAGTCTCGTGATGCCACAATCCAACTAGCTCCTGCACAGGAGCCGATTTCATCGCTCCATCCTCCGCGGTGAATGTACTGTCGCAGGTGTGTTTATCCTCCATTGGCTGCCACTCCAATCATCATCAGGCTCGATAAATCGGGCATCGTCACTTCCGGCAACGTCGTGCCACCCAAGCCCACTTTACTCTCTGCACAGTCAGTTTATTTACTGCCGCACTCATTGTGCAAAAAGTGCTTGCCACAAATGAACCACAGTACCTTGCTGGTCACGTCAAAGAGGACAAAACATCACGCCAACTCTGGTCATCCTTGCAGCGGCTTTTGGCGAGCCGTCAAACAGAGACGGTCGCCACATCGGGAGCTTTCAGATGCGATTCTGCGGCCGTCTGGAACGCTCTTCCTTCCGATATTAGGACGCCACTGGAGCTATGCACTTTTCAATCTAGATTGAGATTGAAAATTCATTCCTTTAGAACTGCTTTTTATGTTTAGGTTGTTGTCCTCCCCTGCACCTCCAATTAGCACGGTTGGCTAAGTACCGTGCAAAAGAAGTTCAACATACACATAAAAACACGATGTCTTTAACTGGAATGTGTTCTGTGACCAATGCGTTCCTACCGTCTTTTCAGTGCAATTCCAAGCGTGCACTTCTCCACGCTTGGTGCAATTTCCTTCAGCTTTTTTTCCATTACATTCATCAGCGTTCATGCACATCACCCGTAATAGCAGGTCACATGCACGTATTGAAACATGTATTCTTCACTCACGTCGGTACGTTACTTCCCATTATCGAGTTCAGCTTCCAAAATCGCTCCAACCTGCTCTTTCCTCGCCTCTGCAATTCACCATATTTTTAACCTAGTCCACCTTCAATAGCATACCCTGATGTGCATTCTAGTTGTGCCCCTATTAAGAGCCATCTTCAAAATCTTGCCCTGCCAGTAACACAATAAATAAACACTGCGATATGTAGCACCGTGCACGCGCTATTTTCGTTCGAGACCGCACGCTGCTATATTCACACGGATAAGTTGGCGAGAGAGTCTAAAACAAGCCGACGCGATTCGTGAAATGAACTGAGAGTGGTGGGACAAAAAGGGAACACAGCGTGCATGCAACACCCCCACCTCGATTCACGGGTACCAGGGCCGGCACTTGCTGGCGGGGGGGGGGTGGCGTGGGGGAGGAGGGGACAGGAGGGGGTGGGCGTGGGGGAAGGAGGGGGACGAAGAAGGGTGGTGGAGGGGGTGGTGGAGGGAGTGGTGGAGGGGGGGCGTGGGGGGAGGGCGTAAGGGGGAGGAGGGCGTGGGGGGAGGAGGGGGAGCGTGGGGGGAGGAGGGGGAGGGCGTGGGGGGAGGAGGGGGAGGGCGTGGGGGGAGGAGGGGGGGGGGGGCGTGGGGGGAGGAGGGGGGGGCGTGGGGGGAGGAGGGGGGGGGCGTGGGGGGGGTGGGGGAGGGGGTGGGAGAGGTGGGGGAGGGGGTGTGGGGAGGAGGGGGGGGCGTGGGGGGAGGAGGGGGGGTGGGGGGTGTGGGAGGAGGGGGTGTGGGGAGGTGGGGGCGGGTGTGGGAGGAGGGGGAGGGGGTGTGGGGAGGTGGGGGCGGGCGTGGGGGGTGGAGGAGGGGGGTTGAAGGGGGGATGAGGGTGGGGGCGTGGGGGAGGCGGCGAGGGGGTCCGCTCTCCCAGGTGGGTGAGGTGCTCACACCCACACACGCCCTCGACCAAGTCAGCGACTATCGCGGCAAAAAGCTTGCCACACAAATATTGCACACATCATTCTTATTATTCACCAGTCACATTTTGTCCCTATTAGCCGCTAGAAAACGTTGTCTTTCTCATCACTCGCCATAGCCGGAGAGGCCATCAAATGCATTTCAGCTGTGCGCGTTTGCTCTAAACGTTGCGTGTTTGAGACAATCACGGCAAAAGAATAATCCCGCTTCCTTGCAATTTTCGGGACGGCAACGATTTTGTCAATGGATAAACACGGGGGTCTGCAAACAGCGAGGCTGCTTAGCAACGAGGAATACACCGAGTGGACGTATGGCGCCCCAGGCTCTTGCCGCACATTTGTTTTTGCTTAGGCCTCGCCATGGCTTCACTGAAGGGGGGATGCTTCACCGCTTTAACAACAACACTTTGTTTGAACCACGCTGAGGCTGTGCTCTTAATTACCAACGGCTGCCCCCCCCCCCCCCCCCCATTATCAAAGCCACGCCAGTGGTTTCCAGCTCAAAGGAGCCGTCCATAAATGACGTCACGCGATTTTGGACGATTTTTGACCCCCCCCCCCCTTCGTCACAAAAAGTCAGACCCTCCTCAAATAAAAAAAATTCTTCAAATCGCTTTAAACTATTGCCATTGTAGTGCGTATTCAATGTGGCGCTGCACTCTGATGTTGTAGGAGAAAACATTTATTAAAAAGTCTATTCAATTAAGTAGAACGTGTTGTCTATATTTATTTAAAGTTGAGCATTTTTATGTGACGTCACATTTCTCAACCCCCCCCTCCTCGTCACACATCGTCACAAATGTCTGACCCCCCCCCCCAAGTGCGTGACGTCATTTATGGACGGCCCCAAAGAAACAACACGGAGCCGCAGCTCTGATCCCTTTTGACAGCACGAAACCAGCGGTGGAAATTCCACATTCCTTTGGAGCGGGGCGAGAGTTCATCCAAAGCACATCCACAATGATCAACTTCTCACTGCTGGGTTTATTTACCGCAGAGGGATGAAAGGCCGAGTCGAAATCTCGATTAAGATTTTTTTTGAACTCCTACGCTTTCTGCGAGTCGTGTGGTTAATCCACTGCACTGATAGGACACTTTGAAATAAAAACCTTAAGAGTGATGGTCCTTCACGGCAAATGTGCAACACCAAGGAAGCTCAACAAATCACGGAATGCATCCGCAATAAAAAGCCATGTCAGTGTGCGATGCTGCCAAAACGCAAGCAGTAACAACGCGTTTGGGCGTTGACAAAAAGTGCACACTCTATTTCCAACCCACGTGCTCCTGCTCCCATCAATAACAGCGCATCTGCATCAGCCGCAAAAAAATAACACTTCAGGCACACGACGTCAGTTTTCAAGCGTCTCCCGGACCAAGTGCGCGCTGCCTGACAGGAAGAAAACACATTCCTGCGGAGGGAGCTGGTAGGAACGTTGGGTTGCTCGGTCAATGGCCAGGTTTCAACGGCGGCGTGGTGTATTCCACAAATATGCCCGACTGCGAGGGCGGGCACAAGCCGGCGTGAGTAGGTTAAACGTTGAGTTTTATAAGGGCACCACGGGGTGACCAGCCCCTCCCCACCCAGCCCCACCTCTCCCACCCCCCACCCAGCCCCTCCCCACCCTCCCCACCCAGCCCCACCCTCCCCACCCAGCCCCTCCCCTCCCCACCCAGCTACTCTCTTCACGACGGACGGACACAATAATCCCCTGTGGGCTGGTGGAACCAGTAGGTTCCTACCAGTAAAAACGCCTCTCGATACGATTCCTTTGCGCCCGTGAGGCAAGTCGACACATCACCCCCCCCTGGTGGCCAGCCGGCTGCAGGCACCTGATCCTCGCCGCTCTCGTTCCACTGAGCACGGCACGCAAGCGCTGCGATGTAAGCAGCGCAGTATTTACTGCGGGCAGCAGCGGTGGCAGCAGCAGCAGGCTGAGCCGCTCGCAAAATAACGATGAGTGATGACCGCAGTGTGCTTGTTTATATGCCCGCTGACGCAACGCGGTGCCGCCAATACAAAACGCCACCACAGTTCCCCGCAAAATTTTAGAGCCGTCAAGCGGCGTTCCGTGAACGAACGGTGGTTTGTTTATAGGAGGTTGGGTTTTTGGAATATTCGGTTTTTTTTTTCGTTTTACCCGTGCATTACGTGCGCAGGAACGTGCACAGCGGAGGAAAAAACAAATGCCGCCCACTCCGTGGACGCATGTGCCCCAACGTTAGCAGCTGGCGAGGGGAATCAAATTGCTCGCTCTGCTCAGTGACCACTAAACCTTCCAACAGCAATGAAGAATGCCTTCCTCACCAAAATAGTGCCCGCTGTCTCTGCAGGGAGCGTATGAATGAGCTGCGTATTTAGTTCCCCGCATGTTCTGCGCCTGGGAGGAACCCCGGGTGCATCGACATGCAAAGATTGAGGAGTGCAGAAATGCGAAGGCGACTATGACACAAAACAACTCTGGTAGGGACGATACGGCTGTGAAGTTTGTGATGGTTTGGACACAGTGATGTCGGTGGATTGTTGCATTGCATGACCATGAGAGATGGTGATGGGTCATCCAACAGTGACTTGATTATAGCTGCTCATGATGATGAAGCTTATGATGACGTATGTATAACGACCGTCAATTACCTCGTTTGTTAGTTCTGCAATATTCCTTAAGAACCCTGTTCTCGGTATCTGCAATATTGACGTTTTTTGCCTTTATCTTGTTGTTGCTGTGCTCACACACCACGGAGGTGCCTTGACAAATAGCTGGGCGACCAGCTAAACGGGATTATTCCGCGCAACAAATGAAAATAAACTCAAAACGTGCAAGAATCGAGGAAAGTAAGACGGGAGAGACGTGGCAAAGAAAGATCTGAAAGAAATGAGCCTGGAGTTGTCAGCAGGCGGCGCGACTGATGCATTGCACATTGTCGGTGCCGAGCGGACAAAACGGAACCAAAGGAGGAGGATTGTTCTGCGATGGCCGCCTCACCCTCGTCGGAGCTGCAGGGAGACGGCTCGGGGGCCTGGTCCCCCGCCAGGCCTTTGTGCAGCAGCGTCTTGGAGAGAACGTCACGTGCGTCGGTGACGGACTCGGGGTCGGCTGAAAACGAGGGGCCCTCACCCGACGGGCCTCCATCCGACGGGCCCTCATCCGACGTGCGCGGCAGCAGATCATGCTGCTGCAGAGAGGGAGGCGCGGGTTGTTGGTTACACGCGCGCAGGGGAATCCTCGCTCGACAAACAAGATAAACCGGGCATAAAATATTGCTCGGGTGATTTATGTTGTACGGTCAGGTGTTTCGATGCCACAAAATGAGCCACAGAAGCAGCTGATGAGGCCCTTTAAAACACACACTTGATTGAGCGCAGGAATCACGCTAACGCAGCAGGTGCACGCCCACACACAAAGATCTCCCCATAGAGCTTACATACTCTGTTGTAGCAAGTGCTGTTAGTGAGCACCTATTGAGGCTGCCATGGTGTACGAGTGTGTGGTGTGACCAGGACCAAGCCCGGTCGTCTTTGTCTACCCAGTGCCGATGATCTCACACGGGACCAGGTATTAATTTAAGGCAGCTTAGGGAAGGCCCAGGACCAGTTCATGTTTCATTTACTGCACATATGCACACTCCAATTTTGGGAAATCACACTGCACTGAAAAGAAAAGGGAAGAGTTGAACAAGTGATAGGCCTTTCTATTCCAAGACACAGGCTCAGTTATGATGCAGGTCCTTATAAACAGATTAATTAACACTGCAAATTAAATCACACCACTTAGCAGCATCATTAGTGGGGGGGGGGGCCCACCTGCGGTGGGTGTGAGTGCCACTCACCACCGTGCCAAGCGCGACGTCACGCAGGAGAGGGGCGGACTGGGCAGCGTGCTGGGCAGCGTGCTGGGCAGCGTGCTGGGCAGCGTGCTGGGCAGGTGCGCCAGGGCTTCCTGTACTGTCCACATGCTCCGCAGGCAGCACCTTCTCTCTGTGTCAGTGAGAGAGCAGCACACTCATGGGTAAGACCACAGATGTTAACTATCTCGCCTGGTATACAGGAGGTTGTGGGTTCGATCCCGACCCTGACACTTGTATAGTTGGAAGCTGCATGTTCTCCCCATGGTCGCGTGGACTTTTCTCAGGGTCCTCTGGTTTTTCCCTCCACATTTAGAAATGTGCGTTTAGAGTATTTGGCTGCCATAAATGTCCACATGATAAGCCACTTTGTTGAGCTATCATTTGTGGCCAGGTCGCACCTGAAAAAGAGCTATATAACTCAGTGTAGCCTTACCTGGAAAAACGAAAAATTGTTTAGTTTAACAGCACATAGACACACGGGTCACGCAGTAGCACATTAAAGCTGCGGTACGCTAATAGAAGGCTGTGCTACGTAATAAATGATGGGTAAAGGTGATGCCCTGCAATGTCTTTCTTACACCACTGCTTCCGCTGGAGGGAGCTGCAGGAGCCCCGCTAGAGGGTATTTTTTACTCGCTTTTCCACATTGGCCGGATGCCTTGGAAGAGGTGGAAAGTACCCAGACTCAACTCCTACGTAGAGCCGATGACCAAATCGCCCGGAATGTGCCCACTCTTGTCAGATCACGGGAGCTAAACTGGGTAGTGTTTGAATGGGCGACCACTAAGCACAAACCGATTGTCATGGGGAGGCTGCAGGCCTCTGTTACATGGTGGCCAGCAGAGGGCTGTGCGTGAAAACCCGTTGTTGTGATGTACCTCTATGCTCCCCACAATCACCTATCCGCACTGACCAGCGATGGTCGAGTATGATAAAAAAATGAATGAATGAATGAAGAAAGGCAGACCTGTGGTCATGAGAGCCAGGTGGTGGAGAATGCGACACGAGCCCTTTTTCCAGTCGCTCGCTGAGCCGCTCCTTCACGCCGTCGCGGTCCTCGGCGAGCTCCATCAGGGCTCGCTCCTCGCCGCTCTCGTCCTCCTCGCTGCCCAAGCTCCTTCCGCTCCCCCATCGCAACTCCCCCTCGCCGGGGCCACAAGTCTCCCCGTGCAGCTCAAGTGACGACGATGACTCCACCACGGAGACCTGCGACACGATCAAACGACGCACGCAACAAGATCGTCGGCGACTATTTTGTTCTTGCGCACGGTGGCAACGTGTTCAGGAGGTGAATGCCAATGTCGAGGTCTGCAAGCCATGACCAGAGGGCATCCGGACAGAGTTCGTGTAGTTTCGCTATTGCCCCGCCTCCGTTGATGGTGCGCGCACTAGTGGTTTACTGTGTGGTCCGTAGTTTTGGTTGCATGGCCACAGGCACACTGCTGTGGCTTGTGTCTAATCTCTCCATTTATGAAGGAGATGCATGCATCGGGCCGTTCATGTTATGATGCTGTTGTGTAATTGTGTCGACATAACAATGCAATGTTGACTGTCCACAGATCCCGTCTATGTGGACAAGTAAATGAGAAAGCATTTCAGTGCACGATACTGACCATATTCTCCACGCTGTTCGTGAAGCTCACCCATGCAAGATTAGCAAAACAAAAACATAGAAAAAAATGCGGCATCTTATTTCATCTAACAGCATAATATATTTTCACAGTTTAAATTTATGGAAAAATCATCAGCAGTAGTTAATTATCGGCACGATAGACAACACTTGAGGCAACCAAAGCGGAACGCACAGCGCAGGCAAATTTTCTAACGAGCGGCGAGTCTGTGATTGCGGCGGGATTGGAGCCGGGGTGCATTACGCGACGGTACCAAGCGCTGCAATAAGCACAGGGCGCACACGCACACACAAAAGACAAAGATCTCCCGTATAGCCTTGAACCAGACTGTTGGGGCAAGTGCTGTTAGCGAAGCACCGATGGGGGGCCAGCGCCACACCCGGCTACCTGAGCACACGCACGCACATGCGCGCACCCACTCACGATCACACACAGGGATCCCTCCACTAATGTAGGCCTCAGGATCGTTTTGCGAGCTCGTACGTGCGTCAACATTGCAGGTCACGAGCCTTCTCACCGAGAGCCGGTCGGGAAAAAAAAATCACAACATCTAAAGACTCTGAACAAACAACGATGCTGCTGCTTATAACCAACATAAGGCCCCCACAGACATAATATAATAACTAAAACTAGTGAGAGCTACATTTGATATTTGGCAATTAATGCTTCCAAATGAAAGATTGTTAGACCCTGATTGTTTTTCACAGACATTGTTTCCAGCCACTGTGAAAATCGAATTCTGCAGTAATTTAACATGACAACATCTCAGGCAACGTACCCGACGATCTCATTTGATCTCGGAAGCTAAGCAGGTTTGAGCCTGGACAGTGCTTTGATGGGTGACCATAGCGCATAACGCAGGTGCTGTAGGCTGCTGCAGGGATAAGGTGTCAACAAATGGCAGTGTCGCAATATCCATTGTTGTACTATACTATGCTCCGACATCGTAGGTTCCCACACATTCTTCTACCCCTCAAGATCCGCAGGGGTACGCGGGAGGAGGCCCTCGTCAAGCAGTGGATTGGCAACATTTCCGCACGTGTAAAATTATTCTGCATTTACGTTCCCACCGTCTGTACAACATGGCTAGCAACCCTGTGACATGATCTTAGTTAAGGAGGGGGCCATACAAAAAAGTGGGGTTGGGGGTGCTCGACACAATCGATATTAAACAAGTGTTACTCTAAGCAGAATGGTCAGCGATGTGATCTACTTGCGTCGATCCCGCGTTCTGCTCTGTCTCTCGCCCGCTGTGTTCCGAAGAAACGGCTGCATCGCCCATTGCTACATCGTACTCAGTTTTGTGCCAACATTTTTTTTTCTGCTCGACTATAAGAATTGGTGGCAAAACCCGGGCCCGGTGTCCCAGCGGGAGGGGTAAGCTGCTCACAATCGGAAGCTTGCGAGGAAAAAAAATCCTGGTTGGGGATTAACTCAGCCGATCACCCCTCCTGGGGTTCACAAAATGTATGTCACTCTGTGGAGTAGCCAAACGGTGGTTTTCCTATGGGTGGACCTCACCTGTCGCAACACTGTGGAATTTTCACCACTGGCTCCAGCCTGTGAATGAGAGGTGCGCACCTCTCGTAAGAAGAAATCAATTTGACTGAGCCTTTAGCGGGGGGGTTATCCCCTTTCAACCCCCTCCCCCCCACACAAGGTGAAGGGGCTAGACTACTCATGGACAAGGAGCCTCCAGTGCAAGTGTGGAGAGTAAGGGAGGAAAATCATGAGGCGAGGACGAGCGGAGGACCATCTGCGATAGGGTGCGCACGGTGACGCCCGCTGCTGTGTGCCTGAGAGAGTTACGGGCCTTGGGAAGATCCCTGGCAAAGGATCAACAAGAACAACAACAAGATTCCCGAGGGACACTCCTCAGCCCTATCCCAGACTTTAGTTAAGCGCCGTGGTTTATAACGAGAGAAAAGGGAGGATACTATCATGGCCACTCTTGGATAATATTTACACGATCGAAACGCACCCAGTTATAATAGCGTATTTCGCACTCTCGTTGCATGAAAATGTAGGGGGGGGGAGAGGGAAAAGCACAAAAGTATCGTGGATGTCGCAAATTATGACCCTTTATATTTGCTTGCTCAATTTATTCACAGATTTATCCACTCTGGTGAATTTACGTAATTCCGCAGAACTGTTAAATGTGATGCATTGCTCTTTGCCAATGCACATATCGTGCCGACAACGCGACTGCCATCTGGCACTTGAATAATGATCAGGAACTCGTTAACTTCCATTGCCTTGGATGGAGCGAGCAGCGAAATTCCCGGGATGCATCTGGGCGCTTTGATAAAAGACGGCAATCTTCTGTGCAATTGGGTGCAGCGAGCCAGCATCCTCGGCTGGAAGTTTTGCTGCCATGCTCTTTGGTTCTTTCGGTAAAGTCACGTAGATGAAAAAATAAAAATAATAAAAATAATAAAATGATTTTTTAAATATAAATAAAATTACAGCAATTTTGCTCACTACAGTAATTTTGCTGTGGCTGTTCCACCTGATGACGGAAGCTTGTGTTGCCCCCGAAACGTCTGACTGAATTTAGTTATTTTCATTTTTTTATATTATAATTTTTTATCTACGTGACTTTACCGAAAGAACCAAAGAGTATGGATCCTTGCAGTCACAACAACTTCAAATCAAGAATTTTGCTGCCATGTTTTATCGTGGATAATTGTAGAAAAATTGAGTTGGCCTTAACTGGGAGAACCATGCAGCCTTTTACTCCCGTTAGGGCAGGCCAGTACGATCGATACATTAAACTGCCGTTTTGGATTCGTGATTTAGTTTGTAACTAATACAAATTCGAGCTAGCAGTCTGTTAAATAATAGATTTACAGTCCTATTTAAATCTACTGCTGGATGAAGGTCTTCCCACGCCATGTTGGTCATGGGAGTTTTTTTTTCACCATACTTCACTGCACGGGTTAGTGATGAGGGAAGAGCGCCCAAGCCCGCCAATAATAAAGTCAAAATAAATGTGCGCTTGTGAAATATTAAATAAATAAGGGTAAACCCAACCAACGATTGTCATTTTCTTGCCGGAAGATTTGCGAAACATGTTTATCCATTTCATATGGCTGCTGCACGTGTCCCGTTGGAAATGTAAGCAATAATAATTGATTCCCAAGCCATATGTTGAGAGCCGAATAGATTCATGCCGTTGGTGATAAGGCTGCAGCAGTGGTCTGCCAAGGCGTCATATTTACCCTGCACGTGCCCAGACTGCTCGCCAAGGTACAGCCACACAGTACGGCACGTGCAATCTGTAAATACGAAATCGCCTCTCGTCTTGCACACGCATACAAACTATTTGAGAATTGTAATCATCTATATAAATAAAAACGAATGCGCTGGATACCCCGTGCAAAAAAAAAATGTTGATCATTTTTTTGTTTTTAGGAGCGCAGTAAAATTTTAACTCGAGGAAATATTTACTGTGCGTCTGCTCTCGCCCCATGTGACACACACGATGGAGCAGAAAAGCCAGCGACTGTACGTCTGGCACTGCGGTCAGGGACACAGATAAAAAGCCACGACCGGCAAACCCGCGAAAAAAATGTAAAGGATAGCAAAAAAAATAATTGGAGAAAATTACAACAGAAAAAATGTGCACTTGTATCAAAATATGCCAAGAAAATGCATTGGAGTAATCTCAATGCCACAGATAGATGTACACGTCTGCACAATGTTAATGTCTGCACATTTATTTTGGCCTTGGAGGAGGGTGACACGCGATGGTATGATTGCACAGAATTGTAAATATTCAGAATAATCGAGGTCGCTCGAGACCGATGCTCGCAAATTATTTGTTAAATTCATTATTAAATCAATCCACTGGATGTGTGAAATTTTATTCTACATTTTTCGTAAAACGTTGCTTTAAAAAAAACATACCGCACACGTACCTAATTGCAGACTATTCAAAACATTTTTATCATTTCGTTGTTCAATATTAACCACTGAATGCCATAAATTACTTCCATATTTCTGCCAAAAACTCAAAACGCTCCGCAAGAACACTGCCCTAAAAGGAAAACACATACGTCGAACAACAGGCGACGATACAGCCAATGTCTCTTCTTTACAGTAGAGAAGCAGTTGCCAAAAATACCACTTGTTCTTTTTTCCCTTTTAGGGCAGTTCTTGACGAATATGTTGAATTTTTTTTCGATTTAAAGCCTTCATGACTGCAGGGATTCATCTTCTTGGTTCTTTCAGTAAAGTCACGTAGAATGGAAATAATAAAATAATAAAATTAAACATAATAAAATAATTCTCACGACGTTTCGGCCACAATGCAAGCAGCCATCCTCAGGTGAAGACCAGGTCTGTCGGGGAGACAGTATCTCCCCGATACGTCGTGAGAATTATTTTATAATGTTTTATTTTATTATTTTATTATTTCCATTCTACGTGACTTTACCGAAAGAACCAAGACGATGTTGAGTTTTTGTTTTGCACTTATGTTCCACCGCCAATGCAGTATATACATATGCCATATTTATAGTTCTGAATTAAAAACAACACGTGTTCAAGAAAAGCGCCTTGTTTAGTTGAAAGAACATGATGGGTATTGGACGAGCAAAGCCAGGCCAAGCCACTTAATCCTCCCCCATTGTGTCCAGTGCTGGGTTTGCTCATCTCGAACTGAATCGACAAGGCCCTTAAAAATATGGATTACTCAATAGCCATCGCTTTAACCTGTACACGGCACGGCGAGCGCTGCACTTGTTGACGCGGGCAAGCGTGCCTGTTTCTCAATTGCAGTGATGCCGTGCCCGTGGCGTATCAAGAATCGATTTCCTTGGACAAGATACTTTGTCGGCTGGCACATCTAGCCTGTAATGATTACTTATCCACGATTCATACACGGATATCTCTTATAAACGGTAAGTTTTCATCTGTTCGCATAATTCAACCGACTTTTATCCATTCTGACCATCAACAACGAACTCAATTTCTTTCTCATGAACAAAAAAAGCATCTGAGCCAAGGATCTGAAAACGCGAGTGGAATACACCGCATTCCATAATGCGGATGATATGAACCACCATCGTGAGCCACAAAATCCATTTGAGCATGTCTTGTGTTCAATCAGGACATGAGTCCACAATTGATGTCAAGCACAAGCAAAGAAACATACAGATTTTGGAAATAAAATCCAGCCATCACCTCTCTACCTGCTTGTAACAGCAATCGCAGAGCAAACTCTACTTTTCACTCTACTCACCTCCACGCACTCTCCTACCTCATCCCCTCTCATCTCATTCTAACTCTGGTGACCTGCACGGGTCACCGGCCTTGCCTGCACAGGTGCGCGAACGTTACTGCGGAAGGCCACTTGAGATATTTATGGTCAATCGCCCCGCTGCACACTCGGGCGACGTTTGGATTAGAAAATTTGCCCGCACACCCAAAGTACTGCAACGCACGTGAATTTCTCACATGTCAGAGGGCATTTAGAGCTTACCGCCACATAAATTACATAGATTTATGACAGCATTAACTTATTTTACAGTGTGATTAGGGCATCAGTGTAATGAATCATGGAATATAACTGAAAATGTAGGTTAAGCGCTCAGGATGGACGAATATCTGCCACCAATGCACATTAATAATGTATCTTTTTTATTCAATTATTTAAACTACTCTCATATTTTGAAGCGTTACATTTATCTTGGAAAATATACTTGCGCAGGTTGGATGACCCAAATGATTTCTATAACCTGCACGGCCCTGTTTTATGATCCCTTACGGATTGCTTGAACATTAAAACATTCCACGGAAAGACCACGGGTTGTGGCAGGACACAAATATTCCATGGGCCAAGACCAAATATTGTATTTGTTGGTACCACCTGAGATCACCAGTGGGGGGGGGGGGGGGGGGGGGTGGGACGTGCCCCCCATTGATCCGATCGAAATCCCTAATTTGGATCGGATCATTGGGGTTTATTAGTAATAAATCGGCATTTTGCGACCCCCACTGCCACTGTGTAGCATATTATTATGTGCTAGGGACTCTATGAGATGATAGGACAATAGTCTGAGTCCAAAATTGGCAATAAGTAACGGCAAAGCTGTTATAAGTGACTCACATAATTGTGCGCAGTTACGTATGCAGTACACGACTTCCCTGAAGGAAAACACCTTCAGCGAGCGCGATGCCGATCACACACGGTTTGAATTTGACCCTCGATCGATGGCTGCGCCATTGCCGCACACGCGTCAAATAAAAAGCAAGGGACAAGTCCTTACTTACTAACAACTCCTCTATCACCATTGGTACCTCATTTGCCAGTAAAAAATATGATAATTGTTTTTTTACCCTTTTATCTGGAAACAAAACTGACACCTTTTTTACGAGGAGTCATGTTTGCATAGACCACAATACCTTCAGTCATAATGCAAACAAAAAACATAACTCTGATAATGTATGCACTGTCCTTGAAGTTGATTGGTCCACACCTGAGACAGCTTTCTTCGTGTAAATGCTTACCCCGAGCTCTCATACTTTGATGGTGCATTGTCTTTGAGTTGTGCGCCTTTTGGCGTCATCTGGTCCAACCCAAGGACAGTGCATACATTATCAGAGTTATGTTTTTTTTAGCATTATGACTGCAGGTATTGTGGTCTATGCAAACATGACTCCTCGTAAAAAAGGTGTCAGTTTTGTTGCCAGATAAAAGGGTAAAAAAACAATTATCAACTCCTCTATCATTTTCCATTGCTGGAGGGGTTGCCCCCCCTACCTGAAAATCCTGGCTCCGCCATTGCCTGAGATGGCTAAACCCGAGTTGTATCCATATCTTTAAATTGCCAATAAAAGTGAATAATTCCATAACCTTATTGAACAAATATGTTATCACATGTTCTACTTTTATTCGCCATTGCTGCAACTTGCATTTTCACTAAATACATGCCACCTCCAGAGTAAACCAAATTTTTCTGTGGTTCATGGGCCAAAAATAAATAATTAAACACCTTCTGCTGCAGTTTGGCCAAAACATTTCCCAACTTAATATACAATAACGGAAAGACCAGGAGACTGAATAATAATAATAATGTGGTAGCCATGAATAGGAAACGCACCACTGAATACACAGTAACAATCAAGCAAGACCGGGTTGTATCCTGCTCCCGATGCTGGAATAATTGACGACTGTGGTGCAGGAAAATTGCTTTTTGTGTTTCGTTTGTTGTCCTTCCCCAGCACCTCCGATCAGCACGGTTGGCTACGTACGGTGCGAAAGAAGTTCAACATACGTACAGTACATACAAGAATAGAAGGAGTCAAATGAAATAACGGGCATCACCTTTGTGAAGTGCAACTTGGTGGCGGTGGTGTTGTCACCCTCAGGCTCGCTCGATTGGCCGTCGTCCCCTCTCTCCTCGAGCGCCGTGTCCCAGCCTCGCTGCTCGCCGCGGCTCTCCGGCGCGTCTCGCTGTGGGACGGTCGGCTCTTCCGGCTCTGCGGCACTGTCATCATCCTCCTCTTCTACCCAGGCCTGCGCGCAACAAACAGCGCAAGCGAATCCTCAGAGGGAGGCCCATGTCTGTGCAAGTTGAACAATTACACAGAAGTCACCTGGCAAAGGGAGATGTAATACAGTAAAATAAATAATGCATATGCGTGGCTTCTGTAAAGTGAACTCTGTAACACAAATGCACAAACGTGTTTGCATATTTGATAATGGCCATTGTTGTGCTTGTGTGTACCAGCACGTTTTGAGTAACGCTTCGATCAATTTGGACAGTTTTCAAATAGGGAAATTATTTAATAACAAAACCATATTTCTACTTTTGTTTGGTTCACAAATTATAACTTTGAAAGGAGCTATCATTTTCACCCCCCACCGCAACCCCACCGTTACGGATGGCCACACCGACGGAGAGAGAGCTGACGAATAAACACATTAAACCTCCGTTGGAAATCATTGAAGAGAGCCTGACACAATGCAGCTCTGTTCCGAGCTTTTGAAGCGTTCCATCTTTCGCGGCTGACTGTGTCAAAGCGAGTGCTGCTGGGAGTGAGCACTTGATTGGTCCGCTAGGCGTGTCGATTGCTGGCTTCTCTCACCCCCCCGTCCCCCCCAGTAAATAAAAACCCTCATCTGTGTCCTCATCGAACACTGGGGCCGTGCTTAATAGGGGCAGCAGTGGGGGAAAAGGGGCCAACTTAAGTGACACTCGAGCTGCGCTTAACAAGAATTATATAACCCTTTTTGAAGTTGCGAGCATTACGCAACACCGAGTTGTTGTTCCTTGGGTGTAACTTTGACCTGGTGTTTTCCTCTCAGGAAGTTGGTACTCAAGTTGTTATGACATCAGCTGAAAGCATCCGAAAAGTGCAATCCTAGCCCTAGAAAGAGAATTATCATGCTGCTGATGTCAGTTTCGTCGAGAGAATAACTATCAAATTAGCAATACGTTACAAAGCCATTTATACCTGAGAACAGGGATTGTTGTCGTCAGTTCCATAATTTAAAATGCTGCCATGGGTGATAATTATTTTTGAATTTCCTGACTAACGTGACCGCTTATGAGCCGTCGCACAAATTCAGATGTACATTGTGAAATGCGTCTACGATGTTGTTATTCATGGGTATCAAAATTAAGCGGATTTTCGCTCAGGCATGGAACGTCAATAAATCGGGACTGCGATTGGGAGAGTAAATTATTTGTCCACAATTCGTGACGAGGGAGATATGCTCGTAAAATACTGCGGTGTTGGACGTACTAAGACAAACTGGCTCCTTCATCCATGCCGTGATGGTGCATTCAGTTTCCTCTCTGTCAAAACATTGCTTTATTTCAAATGTAATACAAATCATTTCAAAACGATACCCCATATGTTTTTGCTAAGATGGAATTCAAATTTTGACTGAGGTTGTCTAATTTATAGAACAGCCCTGATATAAACATTGGAAGTATTCAGTGGATGAAAATGATCAGTTTCGCATTGGCACAAACAAAAAGAAAAATAAACAAATACAAACTACAACAGCGTGTTAGCAGTTGTACAATAGTACACATAACAACAGCAACCCAAAACGTTCGTCAATAACCCGAACCCTGAAAGGAATAAATATGTAATAGACGGTGTTTCCTGCATTTTTCCTTCATCATAAGAAAAAAGGGCCATTTCCGAAAAAACGCCTTCTGCTATGAAAAGTCATTGCTCAATACATTGCATATTTTACTGGTAGGAACCTCCTAGTTACACCAGCCCACAGGGGATGATTGTGTCCGTCGTGCAGGGAGGGGCTGGGTGGGGAGGGAGGGGCTGGGTGGGGAGGAGAGGGTGTGGAGGGGCTGGGTGGGGAGGGGCTGGGTGGGGAGGGTGGGGCTGGGTGGGGGGTGGGAGGGGTGGGGCTGGGTGGGGAGGGGCTGGTCACCCCGTGGTGCCTTTATAAAACTCAACGTTTAACCTACTCACGCCGGCTTGTGCCCGCCCTCACAATCGGGCATATTTGCGGAATACACCACGCCGCCGTTGACCCTGGCCATTGACCGAGCAACCCAACGTTCCTACCAGCTCCCTCCGCAGGAACGTGTTATATCTCTTCCGTTTCAAGGTTAGTGTTACTGACAAATGTGTGGATTTTTTTGGGACAATGTCTGTATTGATATGGCCCAGAACAGATATCGTGTCCTCCAAAAGCACTTGCATGAGCATCTCGACTGTGTATGTGTGTGTCTAAGAGGTGCAACAGGATTAAAGCTGAAAAGGTCTTAACTTGGGAGATTAAGGAACCTTAACCTGCCCGAAACCACATGACTGTGCCTAATCATTAGCGCCGTATAACGTATAGCTGGATTGTAATGGAAAACATAAATAACGGGACGCAAACCTATGCTTGCCAGTGCTGGACCAATGAGGTTTCACGATGTCTATGAGGAAATTAAGCCATGATTTTTTTCTGGCACGAGGCAGGAAGATATGAAGGCTAAGGCCAACAGAATTCCACGGGGAAGACGCTATTCTTCTTTTGCAAACGTGGTTAATTTTTGTGTGTGCGAAAACAGAGACGGTGTCTGCGGATGTTTGGTCCAGGTAGCGAGCCTGCTGGGTTTAGCACCAAGACAAAGCTGGAGAGGGGACACACTCATTGTTATTCAACTGCCATTGTCGAAGAAGCTATTAGATTTTTATGGATGAAAACCTATAAAACGGACACTGTGTTTATCTCCATATAACATGGAGAGTATTTTATTGCCAGGTGAAAAGGGCTTGTGCCTTCACCTTATTCCAGCAGATGCATGAACTGTACAGTACACACGTTGCATAAATAGAGCCGATTCGCATACCGGGACAACAATTATCAGTCACTGTGTTTGTTTCGCTCAAATGTAGGGGGCCGTCCATAAATGACGTCACACGATTTTGGACGATTTTTGACCCCCCCCCCCCCTTCGTCACACGGCGTCACAAAAAGTCAGACCCCCCCCCTCAAATATGACGTCACAAAGCTCTGCCCCCCCCCCCCCCCAAAAAAAAATAAAACATGCTTCAAATCGCTTTAAACTATTGTCATTGTAGTGTGTATTTAATATGGCGCTGCACTCTGATGTTGTAGGAGAAAATTTTATTAAAAAGTCTATTGAATTAAGTAGAACGTGTTGTCTATATTTATTTAAAGTTGCACATTTGATGTGACGTCACATTTCTCAAACCCCCCCCCCCTCGTCACACATCGTTACAAATGTCTGACCCCCCCCCCCCTAGGTGCATGACGTCATTTATGGACGGCCCCTAACCACGTTTGCAAAATAAAAGTGTACCCCCCGTGGGTTTCTGTTAGCTTTAGCCTTCACGTCTTCCTGCCTCATACCGGCAAAAATTGATGGCTGAATTTCGTCATAGAAATCGTGATCGTCATTGGTTCAGCACTGGCAAGCATAGGATTGCAAAGTGTTTTTTACTCTGGCTGTCACCTGATGAAGCTGGTTGTAATTACTGGCGAAACGTCGTACTCGAATTGTAAATGTTGTGGGTTTACTCTCCAACACACCGGTGTGATGTACTAGTAACTAATTGTCATGTTTTGTTTACGTAACAAACCTTACTAATTGGCTGTGTTGGGGTGGTGGTGGGTTTAATGACACATTTATATTTACGCGATCTAACCCAAAAAAAAACCTCTATTATGGAGCGTTATTTATGTTTTCCATAACATTTCAGCTATGTACGTTATGCTGTGGTAATAATGAGGCAAAGTGTGATTACCAGATTGGAACACCGAGGAAAACGGCTCTCAATGAACCCGGCCTCGAAATGAAAACTGTGCTCCATGTGACGTCGCCAACCAAAGGGGTGTCACAATGAAAAGGCCACATTTTTGCAACTACTAGCTCACGCCATTGCTGGTGGAAGGGACCGCGCGCTAGAGGGAGCTCTAGCGAGCCCGCTCCATCGAGAGCATTCTTACATACTGCATCTGTGTATGGTACACCAGCTGCACAGTGGCTCAGAGGAAAGCGCTCCAGAGGGTCATCAACACAGCCCAAAAGATCGCCGGCTGCCATCTCCCCACACTGGAAGAACTACACAGTTCACGTTGCATCAAAAAAGCACAGAACATTATAAAGGACTCTTCTCACCCTGGACACTCACTGTTTGAGCTGTTGCCATCAGGCAGACGATTCAGATCAGTCAAAACAAGGACAAACAGATTCAAACAGAGCTTTTATCCTACAGCGATCACCACACTCAATAATGCTAATTAATTATTAAGTAATAGTGTTTACAATTGACTGTGAAAGAGATGTGCAATGACAAAATGTAACCTTATGTGGGTATGTGGGTATACTTGGGCTGTTTTTATATATAGTATAAATTGATTATCTTTCATTTAATTTTATTTTTATTTTCTTGTTTTATTTAATTTAAATTTATGAATGATGCCCTGACTGGTGAGCATTTTAAATTTCGTTGTACTGGTGACAATGACAATAAACGATCTATCTATCTATCTAGGTTGGAGTACCCACGCTTTACCCCACCACACGGGACCCGCCCATCGACTCAGTGCGGCATACCCGTACCGTTGGGTGGACAGAGGGAGATTTAAGAAGCTTAACCCCGTTGCTTCAACTGCCACGCTGGGAGATCAAAACGGCGACCTCTGTATTGCAAGTCCAACGTGGAGCGTTTCAGAATAGGGTAGTGCTCACTCACTATGAATGTTTTTGGAGCTGAGCCCATAAAGATGAATTTCAGCCCTGAATGAGAACCCAAGCTCACAGCCCTGCTCAAAGAGAGCCTCGTGGGGTCAGGGGGTCATGGGTTGAGCACACAAGGAGCCTCATGCATGGCCCCGGGGTCACGTGGCCGTGTGGTTCATCACAGAAAAGCAATGCCTCTGCTTCTCGCCAGTCAGAAGGAATATATTTGGGGAAATGCTATAAAACACGACAAAGATACATTTTAGGGCCACTAACTCTCACATTTCTTCGTTCTCCCCAGAACAAACAAATAAAACTCGGGAGCTCGGACGCAGCAAGC